AATGGAAAATGGTAAAACCACTTTCCAAAACAGCTGGACATTAAAAAAAATTAAGTTACACCTACACTTATCATAGGCCCAACAATTCCATTCCTAGTATTACACAGGAGAAATAAAAATATATGTTCATACAAACACAAATGAATGTTCACAGCAGTTTTACTCATAATACCCCAAAATGGAAAGAACAAAATGTCCATAAATGTGAAAGGTAAATGGATAATTATAATACATCCACATGAAAAATATAACTCTTCAATAAAAAAGAATGAACTATTGACACCCCAAACACCATGGATGAATCTCAAAATATGCTGAATGAAAGAAGCCAGACACAAAGGGTGTACAAAAGAATATAAATTCTAGGATTTACATATAATTCTAGAAAATACCAACTAAGCTATAGTGATAAAGAGCAGATCAGTGGTTGTTTGGGGACAAAGGGATGGGATTAATTATAAAGACACACAAGGAACATTTTTGGCATGATAGAAACGTTCTTGGTTGTGGTGGTGGTGGTGGTGGTTGTGGTTACATGTAGTTGTACACTTAAAATAGGCACGTTTTATTATACATTATATTTTACATTAGATTACACCTGAATAAAATTGATTTAAGAATTAGCAGCCTAAAAATGTTTAGGATATGTTAAATTTAAAAGTTAAATATAAAAGGACATAGGCATTACAAATAAGCATATTAAAAAAAGACAGAAAGAGCCTCACACACACAAAAAAAACAATTATGTTAAGATAAAAGATTTAGTTAGGCCTTATTTTTCATCTTTGAAAACTATTTTTAATATTCTATAATAATATTTTCATAAACAGTACTTTTTAATAGAGAAAAATAAAGCAAATAACTTATAATTTGGTTAAACATGAAAAATTAACTCAAGGCTTATTTTCTTTTCAGTTACCTCTATGCTCAGAGCTTGGAACATTTAATCGTTATCATCCTCAATTCCTTACTTTCGAGAAACGGGGGGAGCCCCAGTACGAGCCAGTAGCTAAAGGCACAAGTATCCTGTCATGTAATGAATCAGCGAGAGTTAAACGATCACTGCAGGTTGCCTGACTTTCATCTAGATACCATTTCCATGCAGGCAGACTTCTCAAGTAGGCCACTACAATATAGTGACAGCAACAGTAGAAGTAGTAATGATAGCTACTTCATTAATTAAATGCTTACCAAATAATAAAAAACAATTATACTGCCTTTAATGCTTACTCCAACATCATAAGCCTTATAAGCTATTTAAAATTTTCATTTTATAGTCTCAGAAATGGCATCTCAAAGAAGTCAAATAATTCGCCGAATGTCGCAGCTAGCAACCCAAGGTCTGCTTAGTTCCAAACCTAACCACCATGCTGCCCTGCCACCTGGTAGAGGGCTCCTGAAATTTGTGGTTACAGAAGCCCTATTTTCTGATGCTTGAGGACTTGAGGAAAAGAGAGAGACACTAGAACTTAACAGGCCGAGCAAGAATTTTCTTTCTTCATACCTAAGGGGGTTTGGAAAAACGCTGAGCATTCAGCATAAAGAGACTCCAAACAGCTCTCTCTGCTAACCTACTGGGAGCAGATCATAAGTCTCTGGACTGATTGGGATCTTGCCTATATAACTAGTCATCGGATCCCATTTTTCTTTTCTACTGTATATTCTAAGCAAGTGTTACAGTATAAAACATGAAGAGGGAATATCAAAAGCTATTCTAGGAAAACAGGATGTCCTTTCACACAAATGTTATCCAGAAAGGCTTTATGCCCACGTTCAATTTCATTTCATGTATAACAATCCCTTAATCACACTGAGAATGTCACATAATCTCTCTCACTCTTTCCACATTCTCAACAAGTTATTTTACCCTTGAAATCAACAGACCAAGAAAGAAATGATGCTAGTGAATCAAGCAGCAGCTATTACTATTTAAGAGATGAGAATCCCATAGATATAGCTGGTTGTGTGTGAAACTGTTCCCTTCGCAGATCCCTCTTTGCTGATATGCACTCTACATGAGGCGCCTTCCTGGGTACCATTGCCTCAGAGAATCAATCTCTCCTGACTGTACTTTTTCCTCTTTAACTCACTCGGTCTGGCTTGCCTCCCACTGTACGTCTTTCTTTCATTCAAACCTGGTGTTTTATCTCCTGCTACCCAAAAGGTTGTCAGAACTGCTATGAACTGAAGGGCTTTCATCTGCTGCTTGTCTTCACATATCTGCCATTTATAATAGTTTAATCTGATAAGGCCCATGCTTGACAGTGCCTGTCATTCATGAGCTAGCATTTCTAGACACAAACTCTCTAGGGAAGAACCCTCAAAGAGGTCCAGAAGCTACCTGATTCCTGTTCCATCTTCGCTTGTCCTCTTGGGACTTGACACTTTAGACTGTCCTTTTGGTTTTCTATCTTCACTGATGCTATCCAGTTCCCCTTTCCTAATCAGTCTACCTCATACCTTTACCCATTCTGGTTTCTAAACTTGCCCCAAAAGGAAGTGTTTTAACCCTCAGATAGGGTTCTGGATTCTCTCTTTGGTCCTTGTTCCCCAGGGGTCCATGCGTGTAACGGTGGCTCCCAGGTAGTTAATTCTATCATAGCTAAGGGGGCTTCTTTCTTCATACACTGAAATACGTCCTAGTTACCTAAATCTGAACCTTTGTTGTCACTCTCTGCTGCCCTCCAGCGGCTACCAGTAGTTAGAAATTAGATCCAAGGCTTTTCCTTGGCCTGAGCGTCCTCTTGCAGAAAGCTACACAGTATGGTTAATGAAGATGAGATTCGTGTTCAGAACCTAGCCGTTTTCATTCAGCCAGTACCACCACAACAGCCTCTGATACCACTGCGACTCCCAGGGAAATTCGTTGGTAATGACTCTCCTATCCCTTCTCATAAAGATGTGATTGTCTTGGAAACTTACAAATTCCATGTTTGTGGATGTGCATATTCATGCTGTATGGTAGAGGTTAGGGAGAAATCTCCTGAATCTCTCAGGCTTGATTTGTTGGGAGAAGCCGAAAGTAGTGCAATGTCTCAGGCTAACCAGGCAGCAAGACGTCTCACAGGTTACCTAGGTCCCTAATGATACAGCATGAGAAGATCGACAATGCTGTCTACAGACTAAGGTAGAAATTTCTAGGTGGCTTACTATGTTATGCTTGTTAGGTCTTCACTCAAGAGCTGAAATGAAATGAAACCAATGCCTCTGAACTGATTGACTGCTGTGAGGCTATCTAGAGTGATGCTGGCACCATGTCCACATCAAAAGTTACAGTCGTTGTTCTACTGAAGCACAGGAGCAGGAGAGTTGTCCTAGATTAGACTGACAGTTCTGAAAAAGGTCCTTCTAACACCTAATGGAAAGGGTGTTCTATTAGGTTGATGCAAAAGTAATTGCAGTTTTTACCATTACTTTCAACGGCAAAAGTGCAATTACTTTTGTACCAACATAATATACTGTGGTGTAACCTCTAAGTACTAGGGCCCTGCCTCCAGGATGAGGTAGAAAGTTCTGGACAGCCTAGCGTTAGGTTAGACAGTGGCAATATGGGTTGAAGGCAACAATGGAAACTCTTAGCCTGGGAGGCCCATGAGTCAGAAGGCCAAACCTCATTAATTTTTCATGGGGAAATATGTCAAAAGCCTAGGATTTTATCTCTTGCTACCCAAAAGGTTGTCAGAACTGCTCCATGACTGAAGGACCTTCAGCTGCTGCTTGTCTTCACATATCTGCCATTTACAATAGTTTATTTTGAGGAGGCCCACAGTTTGTGTGATTCATGAACTAGCATTTCCAGACACACAAACTCTCCAGGGAAGAACCCTAAAAGAGGTCCAGAAGTTACCTTTCTACCACATACAACTGTGCAAAGAATCAACTGTTTGGGGCTTACATTACTACTACGTGGGTGTGCTTGCTCCCTGAGGAAAACCACAGTGGAGTTCATCATCCCTTCCACCTTCCCTTCCAGGACCCCTTCCCCATTAAAATAAAAATAAAAAAGAGTCTACCTCTTATAAGACTACCATTGTCTTAGTGTGGTTGTCATCGACTACTAATACTCCCTCTCTTCTGATTCCCAATATCCTGAAACAATTCCATGAGGACTTTTAGGAAGTTAGACCCCTGAGGTACTAAAATGATTTTTTCATAGTAAGAGAATAACAAATAGGAAATGGTCTTCCAAACATGCTATCATGCCATATTAAATGTTGGTCTTTTCCTGGCACTTAAATGACATCTTACATGATTTTCTATACCAAAGAGTTATGCTCAGTTTGGATATTATTTCATGAGATCCTGGTCTGCAAAATATGAACTCTGTGTTAAATCAAAAATATGCCCTGAGGTAGAATTTCCAAACTCATTTCCTCCCCAGTTAAGAAGCCTGTATGAAATGAGGCAAAGTCTTGGCAGTTCCAGAGCAGATTCTCCTCCATTCAACCAAGGATATTCAGCAGATCCCAGAATTTGTTAATATTACTGGCAATTCCTCCTACTAATTTCCTCTGATGGCTCTAGTTATTAATGTCCCAAGCAAGATAAGGAGATAGATCTGGTTTGGAGAAACTGCTAAAGCATTCCCGAAGCTGAAAATTTTATTCACCTGTGCCCTATCCTTGCATATGCTGATCCAACCTTTGATATAAAGTCAAAGGTCTGGCTCAATGAAGCCTATTCTCATAGTGTTCCTTCTTCTATTTTTCACAGAATCATGCCCAGAAGCTGTTACCTCTCCCCTGTCCATACTTAGGAATAGGAATTATTTCCCATCAGAGCTTCCTTTGATGTTGGAGGTAACACCTTGAAGGTTACAGGCGTCTGTAACTTTTTTGATGTTGTCAAAACAATTTGGGCAAAACAATTTTAGCAAAACGACTAGAAAACTCTGCTTCCAAAAACCAAAGGACCACCTTTTGAAGTTGACTATCTTATTTACGTCAGGCTGTTAAATCACAGCTAAAATGTCTTTTCTGAAAGTCTGTGTATCTGTGTACAGCAGAGTTGGCCTTGCCCTAGAGATCTTGCCAGAAAACTCTACAGCTGTTTCCAAAACTGAACTATAGCATCAATACCAAAAGTAAAAATCTAGATAAAGTGACATTTCTTGGAGCACCAGGCCACCTGAAGAGAGACTATGGGAAGAAGGGAATTTATATAAGAATGCAAGTGTCATAAAGGTGAGGGCCTGTTTTATTCATCACATTGTATCTACCACTGTGCTAGGCACAGTGTTGAATAAATGAATGAACACTCCCTGATTATGGAGGTCTATATCTATATCCAAGTGCTTGCTATGGCTCTGTCAAGATATGAAATATAGTCTGCAGGACTTTTAGTGGCTCTATATCTGCAAAGATGGTGCAGGTGGTCTGATATTACTATATCCTCTTCTAACCACCAAATGCCTTTGGGATATGATGACCCTAGATTTCAAGTCTCACCTGCCCTCCTCATGTATACATGCTACTTTATCAGTGGTACAGATAATCTCTTCTAAGATAATGTACGTTATGGCTTAACTCATTCCTCCTAATCCTATTATCCGCAACAGTCATAGTAATGACATCTTCTAATTCCAGGAGTTATCAAGTTACTTGATTTCTGACTATGGTATAGATGACCCCCAGTTTTATAGGCCATTATTCGAGATCATACACAATCTGAAGGTCAACAGAATATTTCAACTAAGCATTTGGAGAGTATTTCTACTGACAACATTACTGGTCCATACATTTTCCAACTAGAAGGTCTGCAAACAACTGTATTTTCTCTACCAAGAATATCTTTTCATAAGAACTTGCCCCTACTACCTATCCCCACACTTCTCTTCATCAGAACACCTTGGCGACTGCTCTGTAAACATCTGGGAAAACTACAGTTCACCTCCCAAAACCTAAGGTACATTCCAGCAGGTTCAGGACCAACATTAAGTACATGTGGGAGATGGCTTCCTGTTAATAGTTTAATGGTTATAATGAAAAAGAGAAGACTGTTATCTCTGGCCTTTTGAGATGTGGGCCTGCCCCACGCCAGCCCCATCTCTTATGAAGCCTCCCAGTTAGGGGGTAGTTTAGATTGGTTATGGTAAAACATTAAAAAATAAATCCTGTGGACTACATGCCTTTTTGGTGTGTTGCTGTATCAGGAAACAAAAATCAGCTTTTGATATAAATGAGTTTTCTACTGAGGCTAAAATATAAATGGTTATTAAAGTTAAGATTTTTTTGTAGGAGCCACCGCAGCCAAGCAAAGGGGGAATGTTCCTTCTAGGAACACATAATATTCATTAGATTTGGGCAATTTGATTTAAAAACCAAAATTTTATTGAAGAGGATCATGACAGGATGAGAAGTAGGAGGGGCAGTTCTATAAAGTTAAGTTCTTGAGTTGTTCTCAAGTTTTCCTAACGGGTGTTAACTAACTGAAGGTATCTCAAAAGAAATATGCAACTATTTCTCTTAGGTCCTATAGTTGTTTTCAAGGCGGGTTAAGTGTTGGCAATGGAAATGCACTGTGTTTACTTTAGACTGTAGGTTAGAAATTGGGGAATAACTGGCCTAGGGGGAATATCAACAGCTCAATCTAAAAAAAGCCCTAGATATCTTGGGATGGTTTGCTGTATAAGAGTCGTTGCCAACAAGCTCCATTCACAAGATCTGATGCAATGTTACAACCCAATTCATTCAGCTTTATGAAAACTTAAGTATATATCAGAAGTAAGTAGCTGCCGGGGCCAAGGAACAGAAAATAATGGGATGTTGCTAAGAAAAGGAACACTCTCAAACCTTCGGTCAAATATGGAAGGTGAACTGTCATAGATTAAATAAATAATGCAAACAATTATCTAAGGAAGTCAAGAAGCTCTTACAATGAATGTGAATAACAGAAATGTGAAATGTTTCAGGGTAGCCTGCAAATAGTACCATTTAATGAGGAAAAGAATACATAGGACATAAAAGAAGAGGTATATGAGGAGGCCAAACAACAAAAAATAATATAACAAGAAATAGGGGTTTCCAGAGATCAGCCTAATACTTAAAAGAGAAAAGACAATCTAGACGCTAACTAAACTAACATACAAAAACACCATGTTTTAAACAAAACTTAAATCTGCTATTTTCTATGTTTAAATATTTTCTTCCCTTTACAATACCTGACTTTCAGTGTGACTCTTCACCTTTTCCAATGAGATATTTTATAGCTACTCAGGCACACATAGGCCTCTCTACTTCATGGCCTCTTTCTTCACTTATAGGTACAAACTTGCTCTTCATTTGCATTGTTTGTACATGTCTTATAGCTCAACTAGAGTGCAAATTGGAGTTTATGTCCCCATTTCTTGAATTTGGACTGGTCTTGTGACTAGCTGTAGCCACAAGAATGTGGTAGAAGTGATGGTTTGCTAGCTCAAAGTGTAGGCCTCAAGGAGTTTGCACACTTCCTGTTACTTTCTTCGAACTCTGCCAAGATGCCATGTGAATAAGTCTAGACTAGGTTTTTTGTAGGTGAGAGATCACAGGGAGTAGAAAAGAGTAGCCTTAGCTAAGGCATCCTAGGCCAACCAGTCCCTAGCCAATCTAGCAGCAGACCTCAAAGTATGAGTAAGCCCAACTGAATCTACCCTAAATTGCTAATCTGTAGAAAGTTGAGCTTCATAAGTGGTTCTTGTTTTAAGCCAACATGTTGTGGGGTAATTTACTATGTAGCAAAAGTCACTGAAGTAACTGAAGTAAACAAAAGTCACTGAAGTAAACATACATAATAGCTTCATCCTTCAATGTAGTACTTATCACAGTGTGTCTTATATTAGAATCAAGTATTCATTCCATTGCTCCCAGAGGGCACAGATTACACTATATTCATCTGTGTATTCCTACAACACTTAGGTTGTCATTTGTAAGCAGTAGGCACTTAAGAGTTTGATAAAATAAACTGAAATGAAAATCATGATTCTAGTGTACAACAGCATTATCTACTTAATGCTTAACCACGGAATAAAAAGATAAGCCATGCCACTGTTAAAATAATAAAGTAAGTACTGAGAATCTACTATATTGGTCGATTCTATATAGTATATATTGGTCCTATATTATAACTCTCAGTTATGAACCATTAAAAGTCAGCACTTGGTATGTACATACCACTTTAAGATAGCTAATTAAATAAGCCTTTGAGATGTCCTTCTTCAAATTCAGCATTAACCCAAATTTGAATTTTGATGGAAACATACACATGTATTTGATTTTTGCATGGGAAGTCATATTGCAATCCTACTTCTATGAACTCATAAAGATAGAAAATACAAAATGCTAGAGAAGGGGATTTTGATTTATACTATCTAATTCACATTATTATTAATAGGAGGTTTTCCAAACTCAGAAATCTGACAAATGAGATTTAACTTATTTGTACTTTAACTATGAAGTGCCACACAAATGTAAAATATCATGAAAGCTTATATATTCAAAATGCTATTTCTCTCTTTTTCTTAAGAAGTAGAAAAGTGAGAATAGGACAAGTGAAAGAGGATGAACAGTTTTGCTATCTGCATTTAATTTGCTTCCTAATGAAATTCTATAGCCTTTAAATGACACTGTTATTATAATCCATACAAAGATGATTTCATCAAATATTCCATGTTTTGAATATTTTAAAATTATTCATTCAATTGATACTGTCTGAAACTCTCTAAAGCAAGAGACTATGAAAGCATGCTCAGAATACACATATAAAACAGTGAGGCAAACACGCTCAATGATGGTAAAAAAATATTCTCACTGTACTGTACTAGAGCAGATCCCCTTTTTACATGTGTGTACCCTATAATTTGCCTTAACTTTGGTTTCTTCCTTTAACTTGTGCCATTTCTATTTAATATTTTTATCTTTGACTTATTAAGGGTATAATGATTAAATCAGTTAAGCTAGATAACTGACTCAGGAGGTCAGTTACAGGTTTAGATAGCTCATTATATAATGAAAACACAAATCTATGTTCTTAATAGTATATCTGAAAGAAAAACACAGTGAGAGTAGTCTCCAGTTCTGGTCCATAAAATCAACCCTGTAAGGACTAGATAAGAAATAGGTAACAATGCAACACGTGAAAAAGACTCAAATACTAGCAAATAGGAAGCTCAATAGATGAGGACTAGAAAGCCCATTCCTTTCATTGAGGGTGCCGAAATAAAAATATAAAGATTTAAAGAATTAAGGTTAAGTGAGATAGATTTTAGCCAACTTAAGAAATATCTTTCTAATAATCATATTGTCCTAGGGTGGAACTTGCTGGTTTGGGGTAGTGGATCCTCCTCAAGCAAGATATTCAATCAAAGTCTGGGGTGCTGTACAGGGATTGAAGTATAAAGCCTAATGTTGTGTTACATAATTTTTAAGATTAGCCTCCAATCCCAAATTTCAAGAATTCTATTTTAGAAGCCTAAATGTTTAGGAAAAGGTAGTCCCAGGTTTTCTAGTTAGAGTTTAAACATCTCTATAATTCAGAAGTCTCCTTTTAAAAAGATGCTCACTTTAAATAAGCTCTGAGAATGACGTAGATAAACTGCAAAGAGATAAATATCTTCGGCATAGAAGGGATCTTTTTTTTCACAAGACTCAACCTACCTGAGGCCTACTAATAATGAGCTAGACCAAGAACTAAAGAAAATTTTCAAACTCTAGGTTAGAAAAATTATCCCTTTAAGCTGCTTCAGTAGAGACAGGTGTAAGCAAAAATTAGGTGACAGACTGAATAGAAAGAGGCATACTCTTTCATTACCAGTAAAATTTTGAATTTTGGGTTTCTACCATTAAAACATTATAAAAGTAACTCTGGGAAGAGAAATGTAATAGAAAATAGGAACTTAAGCATAAACAACAGTGCTCACTGAGAGCTTACAAGTACTTGCACATTCATTCCCGGCTCTGATCCACCTTATTTTGGCTGTGCTTTCTAACTTACTCCCTCAGTTAACATTTTCTGTGAACACTAGTTCCTTTCCATAGGGACCAAAACCACAAACTAGAGAGAATAACCATGCTTCCTTCTCTTGAATAGTGAGAACGGAAACATTTTTCCTTGGACATGTTTCTCCAATGAAATTCAATTTCTGCTTTCCAAGAAAAGCCAATTGGGTTAGAAGTTTCTGAGAAGAAACAGGAGAGTGGGAGGGAATCCAACAGATAACACTCCACAAAACCCTAAACCAAAATCCCAATCTTTCAATCTTATATCAGTCAAGGGGTTAAAACCTGAATGTCTCAGTTGAGCTGCTAAATCTACAGGTGGAAGGTCTTAAGTGTGGGAAGAGATAGCTCCATTTGTGATCATGCTGGCAAATCCTTTATGTGTAAGAGAACCCCCACCTTGGCCCCCAAATATTAAGTTGACACACGTTTCTGGGACACAGCCTGAATCCTCAAACTTTGGCAGGTCTATAGACACACAATTTTCTGTTTTCTGCTTAACAGCGCTTTCCAGAATTGTCATCAGATGACAGATTACACCACCCATCTACAAGGATTCAGGGGTAGCTCAGGCCATCCATTATGGGTTAAAAGCTGTTCCAGCATGAATCGAGTCACAGTGGTAAGGAAACTACCGATACATGGGGTCCTGCAGCTTTAAGAAATACCCTGGGCATCTAAAAGTTTTCAGAATGCAAACTATGTCAGCTCTGAAAACAAGAGGCACTGCATCATTATGGCAGGAGAAACAAAGCCAGCCCCCTTTTTTAAACAGACAAAAAAAAAAGATTGTTTTAATAGGAAAGAAGCATCAGTCATTGATTCTTACTTTATTCACACTTTCTATCCAACCCCATCCATCTTAAGAGTGAAGAGATGACAGAGCCCAGTTAACTCTCTCCCTCACTAGGCCCCCACCCACCCTATTCCCCATATCCAAACCACCAAGGCCTACCAACCCACCCAGCTCAATCTGCAAGAAACAGTCCTAGAGAATGACTGGTTCTATCTAACGGGCTTGCCAAAGCTCAGGTATGCCCAAATATCAGCTTTCATCACATTACTTTAATAGGATTAGCATGACTGGTCCAGACCTTTAATCATCTTCAAAACAATCACTTAGTTACTCATGGCTGACCACATTCTACAAAGGAGGAGGTGGGAAGACGTAAGGCCATAGGAAAAGGTCAACAAACCAAACCAACAATCCGGAATATAAAATATTTCATTTTTCTTAAACGCTGCTGGCCATATTATCTACAAACAAACGTTCTCCAAGCAGGCAGTCTCTGCATCAGTGCACCTGCTTAGCATTGGTTTGCTGAGTTATCTTTTTGCTATGTCTGCAAAAGCCAACAACAGCACAATGGGTCGCATCACTTGAGGGTCACTTGAGTCCCTCTACTCTGGGTCCCTCCTCCCACCCCCTGCCTTCCCTTCTACCCACAAAACCTTTAACTCCACCATAGCTAAGGATCCCAGATAGCTAAATAAAAGAGGTGGCCTCAAATACAGGGAAAGCCCTTAGGTCTCCAATGTGAATCACCAACGCCAATCCCCCTCCCTTCTCCTTTTCCTTAAGACCTGATGGTCTTCAGTCACACATCTTAAAAGAAAAACAAAAAACAAAAACACAAAGACTTACTTGTCTCAAGTCGATGAAGGCCAACTGCAGCGTGTCCTCCTGGAACCCAGGCACCGGGCCGGATCTGGCAAACTCTGTGGGAAAGAAAAGAGGATAAAAAGCGCCTTTAACTAACCATGGACAGGGAGATTGGCAGACGGATGACAGGGAAGACAAGAGAAGCTGGGTGAGAGGAGGACCAAGCTTCTAAGGAGTCATGTCTCTCTCCCTTCAGCTTCTTTGTTTGCCCTTCAAAATTCGTGTCATCAAAACACCATTAATTCCAGCATCCTGACAGCAAGGAAACTGTACTAATTCGACCTGAAATTTATTCCCATGAGCTGCGCTGGGCTTCAGAGTATTTGTTTTGTGAATGGACAAACAACTTGCAAAGGAGGAGGGAGTGGGGGAGAGAAAAAAGTTTTTCCTCCCAACACAATAAAATCTTCAGCTGTGAAACTCTTTTCAGTTCCGAGAGCTATTTATATTTTAGATCGCTGAAGGAATTTTCTAATTTCACGCTTGTCACCTCATTCCCCAAGCATTTATCAAAAAATATTCCCTACCACATCATTAATTATTCCCTCACTGATTATTTGTATTATCTCATGACTGCATTATTGCCAACGCACGCGCGTGCGCGCACACACACACACACACACACACACACACACGGCTTGGCTTTTGAGCAAAGGAATATTTACAGATATGAAAAAGCCCATCTGAATAAATCTCACTGCAAACTTAGGGAACATTTGCACATGTCTGTCCTTCTAGCGTATTCTTTGTCCTTGACTTCTACTTCCATTCCACTCTCAAAACTTCTTTCTTCTCCTTCCTCTACCCCAATTTAATCTTAGCCTGAAGAGACTTCATGAATACTATTTGCAGTTTACAGTGGTGCCTTGGGTGCATGCTCAGTTTATGACTCTGGCTTCTATGTCGTTAAAAAGAAGATGGCTGTACAGGGATATGGGGACAAAAACTAGTAACCGTTAAGAATGTCAAATTTTATTGTCTCTGAGCCCTGCTTATTATGAAATCGAAAGGTCTTAAGTTCCCTACACACATGCATGCACACAAGCGCACGCACACACACATACACACATACACACACACACACACATACACAGACAACAAATGCAAAAGTTGGACAGTTCTCTCTATGAAGTCCATATCTAATCTGCTGTTTTCCTCAAAAGCAACTCAAGTGTCTGTTCAAAGCAAATATAAAAAGGAATGTTTTCCTTCAAATTACATTTCTATCAGGACTGAATTTAAGAAACTATACAGGGTTGGTATCATATTCTTTTGGAATCAATCAATAACATCTATCAAGATATTTGCATATATGTCTAGAAAATTACTTCCAACAACTAGTGGCTGGATACATCCAAATGATAATTTGTGAACAAGGGTAGGAACTTCTGTTCTTCAAAAATAGTTTCCATTTGGGGGCTTCTCAGACATAACAGCATTTCATAAAACCCTTGTCCTGCTTTTCAAAATAATGCTAGCAACTTAGTTTCCAGAAATTATGAGAACATTATACAAAATGAAATTTAAGTCAATTTATTAAACTAATTAAAATATAGCACAGATGTATTAAACAACAATATACACAATTCTTATTGTAGACATTTAAAATAAAAATGCCTCATAAATGGAAAGAGATAAACTACATGGCAAGATTAGCAGTACTAAAGTTTCTATTTGCTTTGAGAAGAAAATTCAAATGCCATATATAAATTAATTGTATCATATATTGCCCACATGATAAAACTTTTAAGAGTCAAATTCTGGCTGGGTGTGGTAGCGCACACCTGTAATACCACCACTTTGGGAGGCAGAGGTGGGTGGATCACCTGAGGTCAGGAGTTCTCAACCAGCCTGACTAACATGGTGAGACCTGTCTCTATTAAATACAAAAAAATTGGCTGGGCATGGTGGTGCATGCCTGTAATCTGAGCCACTTGGGTGGCTGATACAGGAGAATTGCTTGTACATGGGAGGCGGAGGTTGTGCTGAGCTGAGATTGTGCCATTGCACTCCTGCCTGGGCAACAAGAGTAAAACTCAGTCTCAAAAAAAAAAAAAAAAGTAAAATTCTAAAACTATATGAATATTTTATAAAGGCCATGTTAATAAAAAACTTGATATAATCCCTTGTTTATATCTACAATAGCCCATCTGTGATAACCTCATATATGAGTGTTATTGGAGTTAAATGTACAGTTGCTCTTGTTAATAGTAATTCTTTGCAGTACAGCCACAGCTATCCTTTTTGACTGCCTGAATTGTTAGGTGGTCAGCTAAAATAAGCTTCCCATACTTGATGGTTTCTTCCAAGGTTGATAGATTATCACTATTGGTATTACATAACTCAAGTCTATCCTGCCTGTATCACCTGAAGCATCTGAAGTCTTCTCTCTAAGTACAAACCCTACTTGAGTCAAAATGGCAGCAACTATCAAGATGTTCTGCCATCCTATATATGTCCAACTCAACAGAACCAGCCATCTGGATGTTTGGGAGCTGGCTACACATTCTTGAATCTCCTTATTGGGCATGCTCCCTGGGGCTAACAGATTAAGCTGATGAAACAACTTAGGAATCTGAATGTGATACATATTTAGTACTCAGAGTCATTTTATAGACCTCATTGTTATGACACACTGAATCTTTCAGGTTCCCAAAGGATATGGTGGCCTTTTAGGTTTGATTGCCCCTTTTATAAATCAAGGAATCAAAGAATGACAGTTGCATCAGGTATGACAAAGTGAAGACATTAATTTTCACTTATAGCTCATGGAAATGTCTAATGACTATATGTTCAACTTCACATTTGTATTTTTCTCATTGCTTTATGTGTATAATTCTTCTCTTCCCACATAGATAGCAAACTCCTTAGGAATAAAGGCCATTTCACAAAACCTAACATGCATTCAAAATAGTAGACGTTCAACCAATATTGTGTTTTAATTAAGTAAGTTACACAAACAGCAAGATTCATTAGCCACATGTACTCTTCACTGCCAATGAAAATCTCTGGATTGTAATAGGTAAGGGGTCCTTAATATGAGTATCAATAAGCAGGCTTTAGGAAGTCATGAGCTCCCTAAAATTATATGCACATTGGTTAAGAGGATAGGCTTTGGAGCAATAAAAAATCAGAATTTGAGCCCCAGTTTTCCATTTAGTAGCTCTATGGGCTTACACAATTTACTTAACCTCTTCATACGTCAACATCTTTATCTAAAAAATGAGGATAACAGAGCGTTCCTTATAGTGCTGCTATGAGGATTAAACAGGATAACACATGTAAAGCAGTTGGCAGAGTGCCTAGTATATCATAATTGATTATCATTATAATATATAGTTTTTTTGTGTAAGTATCCATTTCTCTGCAAAGAAGGTTCATAGCTTTCACTGAATTCTCAGAGGGTTGGTTGCTCAAAAAAGGTTAAGAAACACTGTTCTATATTAAGGACAAAACATGAGGAAAAAATTCAGCTATTGTTCAATGATGAGTTAGTGAGCTGGCATTACAAATTTATTTATAGGTGCATATTTAATTACTTCATTTAAAGGAAACTGATATTATTAATTGCTAGTGTTTTAGCTACAGCATAGTAATTTTCATTAGTATTGTTTTAAAAATTTAATAAATGTATAAAATAGATATTTTGTAACTTTGTGACTCAATATGCCCTCAGAAACATAATTAAATTTAAAATACATTAAAAAATGTTAATAGTATTAGAAAGTGTGAATATTTTTAAAAATACAGGAGAATTTGTATATAGTCTAATCTCAACCATATAAAATATAATATGCACAGAAAACATGATAGTAAGCACTCACTTCATCATTTTACCCAAGGCTGCTACAGAGAGGAAGGTTATGAGCGTGGGTTTTTTCTTCTTAACATTTTATAAACTTTAAAAATAAATACAGACTACTTTTATAACCTGAGAGAAAGAAATAGAAGAACATATACATATACATATACATTATGTAGTGGAACTCATATTGCAGTACCTTCCCTAGAAACAAGAGATATAATTTGTTCAAGATTTAGTATTATTGGCACCTAGGATTGGTCTATAAACCCAAATTTTCAGATGCTGCTTGACAGAAAGAGAAGAGAAAAACTACCACATGAGAGAGGGGCAAGAGGCTCCCAGTCGCTCATAATATGCTGATGCATCCACAAATTGATTATATGTACACACAAGAAGCCTCTCTCAGAATTGCTAATTAAAATTGTCCTTCTTTGACATCATAGAAAGGGGTAAATACATGCAATTTTGGCCAAGTGGAACCAATGGATACATGAGTCATAATGGAAATTCCCTTTCTGGGCTTATCTTTGCAATCCAGAATTTGTAGTAGGTTTTCAGTATCTAAGTGATCCAAGCCAGCAATCAGAGATTCTGAAGCATCAGCAAGGAAATCAAGGTACTTGCTCCATTCAACGCAGAACCAAACCCTACCTTTGACCAACTCTTACTGCTGAAAGATTGAATCAAAGTTCAGTGAGACTAGCAAGGTGGCTTCTTCTTGGGAAATGTGTCCAGGATAGGAGAGCCTCTGACAGGTATCAACCCATTCTCCAGAAAGCTTGGCTGTTCCCCGCAGTTCTGCTCTGCCCCTGTCCAATCATGCATGGTAAAAACCCACAGAGTCAAAGCTGGTGTCAGGACCTGGCTCCAAGATACTATTTGCAAATGTGCAAAATCTTTCAGTGAAGAAACTACCAATTCATTCGAAATTTAAGAAGAAACATTTTCACTTAAAAAAATTAAAAGAGGTATACAAAGTTACAGGAAAGAAGGCATATTGTCAGTAAATCTACAAGAGAAGAAAGAAAATCACTAATATACTTTACTTACCAAATATCTAACCCTTCACATTCTCATACACACTAACATCTATGAGATGTGGTAATCATTTTTAAAAACAATATTAATTTTTCAAAAATATGCTATAATTTTACATTTCTAATAATCTTCA